GGAGAGGCAGATTTGCCCACGGCAAAGAGGCAGGCAAAATAGGGAAGCTGGTGTGTAGTTTACAAGAAATAGATACTGAGCTCATTTCTCTTTGTTTTCGGCATGGCCTATCATATTGAAGTGAAGTTCGGGAACTCAGAATGTACTGCGCGAATTTTTGGGAGAAAATTTCGAGTTTTTTTTGTATGTTCGATACGAAAAACCCGATTTTGCGACATTTTTGGTCGAGGTTCGATCTAGCACCCCGACAAATGCGGTATCCCCGACCCCGACAAACTGGGTGTCACTGCGGGCAGCGCCCAGTATATCCCTCGGAAACATCTTGAAGACAGTGTGGGAAATGAAAGAAGGTCTCCACGTTTTTGATGCAAGAAATATCTTGAGAGATATTTTGAATATTACATATATTAAAAGATAAGCCACGGATATATGGAGAACAAAGAAACATTCAAAATATCTCTCAGGTATTTCCCGCAGCAGAACCAAGGTGGTATTTTTTTCATTTCACACAATATTTCTCTCATATTTCTTGCGGAAATATGGGTGATTGCCCGCAGTGTGTCTCGGGATCGAAGCTCTGTGCGGGTTTGCCGGGGTTTTGATCCGACCAATTCCCGACAATCACAAGCAGTCGAAACATTAAACGCCCGTCGACGTGCCCAATGCCAGTGCGAACTTGATCTTCCTCACTATTATTCTGTCTTACCATCCGGGGTTTTAGCAAACTACATATGCCGACGCTTAAAAGAAGTGCTTCAGCCTCACCAGAGCTGGTCGGTCGACCTAGTTCGTTTCATACCTCTGTTACATTATATGAGGCGACCCCTGTACAGGCCTCTTCTGGCGAGGCTGCCAGTGGCCTTTTACCACGGCGGTCCAAAAGGGTCAAGGTCAAGGAAGAGAACGACATTAATGAGATCTTTGGTGGTCCCAGCTCCTCGCGTAAAAGTGTAAAGAAGACTCGCACTCTGGTCGAGGTGAAGGAGTCGGATGTCGATATTCAAAACCCTGCTCGGAAGGCAGCAAGAGAAGCCTCTCCTCGAAAGCCGAAAGCTATTAAACAGTCTCTGGACGTTCCTCATCCTGCTCCTCCGCATTGGAAGGAAGTCTACGAAACTATAAAACGCATGCGTGAGAATATTGTTGCACCCGTTGATACCATGGGCTGCGACCAGGCTCAATTGAAGGAAACGGACCCTAAGGTGAGCAAAAACAACTGATTCCGTGCAGTGATAATAATTCCAGGATTTATACTCAGAGTCAAAGGTTCTCTACCTTGATATCCCTCATGCTGTCTTCTCAGACAAAGGACGAAGTTACAGACGCGGCAGTGTCCAAATTACGAGAAGCTATAGGCGGGTCCTTGACAGTCAATGCTATCCTACAATCCGACGAGAGTACTATATCCGAAGCAATCGCAAAAGTGGGCTTCTGGCGACGAAAAACACAGTAAGTCTGTTTGTGCAATTATCGGTCAAGCCGCGGGTTTCGAATCGAGCGGTTGGCAGATACATTAAACAGACAGCACAAAGGCTGCATGATGAGTTTGACTCAGACATCCCCAAGACAGTCGACGAACTGTGCTCTTTACCAGGTGTTGGACCGAAGATGGCTTTCCTTGCTCTCCAAGTTGCTTGGAATATGTAAGCTATAGCATGCACAGTATCAGAACCGCGGGTTAACGCCTGCCCCCAGTAATGTAGGAATTGGCGTTGATGTACATGTGCATCGTATCACAAACAGACTGGGCTGGCATAAGCCGCCTACCAAGAATCCGGAAGAGACGCGGTGAGCACACTCTTCAAGATCGGTTTGGTGTGCGCCGTTGATATACCACTACTAGGTTGAATTTACAATCGTGGCTCCCCCACGAGCTTCATCCCAAAATAAATCACATGCTTGTTGGATTCGGCCAGGTGTGTCAAATTGATCTGTCTATGACCAGTAGAATGAATGCATTTGCACAGATGATATGCCTTCCTGTCAAGCCACGTTGTGATTCCTGCGATCTCAGCAATGGACTTTGTCCGAGTGCAGCCAAAGTGACGAGAAAAGAGAGCAAGAGAGTAGCTTCTGCGACTAAGCGTTCGCCTAGCAAGGTTGGAGATCCTGAAATCAACATTGCTTTTGAGGAGGAAGATACCAAAGAAAGCCTAACCATCGGCCCATTGGATGACACCAGTAAATATGACACAGTAAGTACATTCTTGTTTTTGTACTCGTATAACTACAGCGTTTATTTCCTTTTGATAGGAGCGACCCCCATCATAGTAGTCCCATCGCCATATCCCAAAAATTCTTCTCCAAACGTGTACATCTCTCCCAGACCGAGCTCCACTCCGCATACCTTGCGGGTGATGGGGGATCGGCGGCAGCCATCGCCTCAATGGTTTCTGGAACGGTATATCAGTAATTTGGAACGTTACTATATCTATGGAGAGCTTACGGATTCCGATCTTGACAGCATTTTGGTAATGCTCTCCACCGTAATCGTCCATCCATCTGGCGTAAGGGTTGCCTTCGGTGACAACCCACGTCGATGGTTTGCTTGCTTCCTTCTTCAACCACAAGCCCACTTCGCCATATCCGAGAAGACATGCAGCGACTGCCATTACGAGTTTGCTTCTATCACCTGTATAAAATTTCGAGCCTTTTTATCATGTTGCCATCAGGGCAAGACGGACCTTGTAACCCGCAATCCAACAAGTAAGCACCATAAGCAGTAGTGGCGGATGACTCGGGGGTAGACAAAAGCTCTTCCTCTGTCACTCCCCACTCTGCGAGAAATGCCGTGTGGGTGGCTACTTCGTTGACAACGTTGATAATAGTGTCTGTGGCTGCCTTGATGGCGGGAAATTCGGTCGATTTTACAGCCAGAAGACTACAGTGCGCAGTTTAGTATGTCTGGGTAGCGAAACATGACACTCCACTAACCTATATGCCCTTGCATAATATCTTAGATATAAATAGTCTTGTCTTCGCGGTGTCAATCGAGGCGCAAGTGATCCTAACGAGACTGCTCACTTGATAAAATGCACAAAGCATTCCCTGGGAAGTGTGCCCTTTGCAAGCTTTACGACAAATTCGTGCTGTACGTACTCCTTCCAAATACCCGCGGTCGACTCGATAAGCAATCGAGTAAGTGGGTGTGGGTTGTTTGGCGTTGACCTTTCGTTACAATTGTTAGGATTGATAAAATGTAAGGCATACTTAGGGTTCCCACCTTGGTATACAACGAGACACTATTGAATGTGTATGATTGAGTGGTCCATGACCTTTCCCCAATGGTTGAGCCGTTTCGATACCCAGGTGTGTGTACGCAGTCGCAAGTCGAATTGCTTCGGCATCTAGTATGATGCGAACGAGTTAGAGTTATGCATCATACAACAACTAAACGTACAAACAGGGTTGTCCGCGACTCAAGCAGCACACGATCGCTGCCGAGAGGGTGCAACCAGTACCGTGGGTGCTCGTTGACTCTATCCGAGGGTGCAGATACAATACGGTGCCGGATGAATCCTCCAAAACATCGACGACAAGTAGCCTGGGATGCGCTGCAGAGTCATTTGTAGTAACCTGGAGGATCTCCATATTTTCTGCATATAGGCCATCGCTGACTATGCGAATTTTAGGGAAATAAGCCTTTGCGCGTTCCACGTCTTGGAGTGTCGCTGTGAGATGGCCTCCCTTTAAGAGTACTGCGCGCGGCCCTAGCTTGAGCAAATTTTTGGCCGCGACGAGCATGTCCTCTAAGCTCGCGATTGTTGAAGGAAGGTCACGGCAAGATAGTAACAATTCTGCCTCGGATTTGTTTGGTGTGATCAGTGAAGTGAGGGGGAAGAGCTCCGATATCATAACTTCCACAGCGTCGGGATGTAACAAGGTATGGCCAGAGGTTGAGACGCAAACTGGGTCGCACACCAAGGGAGGTAGAGATTTCCCCGTATAGTGTGCTTTCAAGGTACGAACGACTGCGCGAATGGACTCTGCATCGAAGAGCATACCAGTTTTTAAAGCCTGGACATCGATATCCTCCAGTACGGAACGCAGCTACACGGAGTATATGAGGTTTCGGCGTGCGTGAATGATCAGGGTACAGACTTGCTGCTCGATGAATCCAGGGGGTACTGGATGAACCGCTTGGACGCCCGTAGTATTCTGCGCCGTGAGGGCAGTCACGACGCTAGTTCCATAACAGCGGTGCGCGGTGAAAGTCTTTAAATCTGCCTAGCAGTTTGAAATTCGATAAGTGAAATAAGCTATGATAGCAGCGGTAACATCTGAGGCCTGAGGCCAGAGTACTTGCCTGTATCCCGGCCCCACCACTGCTGTCTGTACCAGCAATAGTCAAAACAGGAGGTTGTTCCATATCCTACAGAACGATAAAACCTGTAATGAGTCAAAGCAGGCCATGTCAGTGATAAAACTGAAGATATGTATCGCTAAAAAGAGCTCAGCTACAACTACTTCAGATAATAATTTTTGTTATCGCCGTCGTAGCCCAATGGTAGGGCGTCGCTTTCCTATGCTGGATTGCAGGCGAAGGTTGCGGGTTCGAGTCCCGTCGTCGGTAGCGGAATGATTTTTGCTCCCGTGATGTCCTATTGTGAATTACAGACACAGTAATCACTTTTAAGAACTCAGAGACTCAGAAGTCGTAGTAGGTAGTGTACATGTTGTTTGTCTACATCGCCCGCATCACAGGTTGAGCTGCCTAAACTTTGGTCCCTTTGGCAAGAAAGAAATCGACGTCGTCTCCATGCAATTTAGCCCGAGTCACTGTCCCAAACTCAAACGCGCCCAAGCCCCCAGTCTCGAAAGTATCCCTCATTTCAGGCTCGCTAAATCCGCTCTTATGAGCAACGACGTGATGGAAATGCTCGAGCAGTTCTGGACCACCACGATTCTCGTCTTTGACGATGTCTGCGACCAAGAGTGATCCGCCTGGTTTGAGAAAAGAAACCAAGATCCGGGTCATCTCTTTGACATCCGAGAAGTGATGATACGCCGCCGCACACTATAAAGTCGCAGATATTTCAGTAAGAGGACAAATCAAAGCCTAGGACAATGCATACAACTATGACGTCAAATTTCTGGCCGTCAAGCTCGGTGTCGTCGCCTCTGAGCTCTGCACGGATTGCCCTCATTTCTTCTGGAGGAATCCCTTGGTTGCTGACACGAAAGTTGTACTGGTCCACCTAGGCGAAAAATGATACCGTGCAAGTCTCTAGGCTGTCCAATCGAATGCGTACCATCCCTTGGCTGATATCTACGCCTACTATTGACTTGGCATACGGGGATAGCTCGCGGGAGATGAGACCTTTGCAGAGAGGACCAAGTTCAGTGATTCAGGTTGGAGCTGTTGCCATTCCAATCAGCGAACACTCACCGGTCCCACAAGCAAAGTCCATAACCATTGTCTCATCTTCGTTGAACAAGGATGGATATTTGGTCAGTATCGCATGTCCCAGTTTACGAGCTAATTGTTGTGCTTGGGGCTTAGCATCGTATTTCTGAGCTTCTGCATGATCATAATGCTGCTGGTTTGCGGCAGCGTAATCATGTATGTGAGCTGCAGCTTCGTCGCTATGCAGTTGAGCCTGTATTGAGTGGGTGTGGTCAGACATTGTTGTGGTTGCGCTTAGTACCTTTAGCAGATCATATATAGATCATTAATATTTTGTGGTTCACGCACGACTCCGCGCCTCGTCGATCACTTTAGTGCCAGGTCCGAGTGTTTACAAACAATACAAGTGTCATAAATAGCCTATAAATTAGTTTGTTCGATACTGACAGTGATCAACCTCAGCATCAAGGAGGAGATTAACGGAGGGAAAGCGACCCTCCGAACCTTTTCCTCGCTACTTCATCCATCTTCTTCTTCACCTCCCTGAAAGCATTCCACCAAACACGGCCCACAAACTCGGACGTGTATTGGCCTTCACGTTTCTCTACGATTCCGAGATCGTCAGCAGAGACGTGCTCCCATAGGCCAAAATTCCTTCGCAGAAGCACTAGCCACCATCTGGCAACAGCCATGGCCTGCTCCAAGCTTGAGTCTCTCGAACGAGAATGGTCCACACAATGAACCAGGTATTTGGCGAAGAAGTCCACGTCCTTCTGGTTTGGTGGATGCTCCGTGAAACCATTGACCCACGCTTCGATTACCCCCTGGATATCGTCCTTCTCGGTGAAGTACAATTTCTCTCCTTTGGATTTACCCTGGCGTTTCAGAGATGGCATATCTCGATATCTCGCTTTCGGTGGTGGCTGGCGGAATAACGGTCTATTCCTACGGAATCGATTTCGTGGTTTGATGACGATCCTATTTCCACCAAACACAAGGCCAGAACCCCCAGGAGCTTTCGCTTGCCGTGCAAACGACAATTGTTCTCTTTGCAATTCCACTGGCAGCGCCGCAAACACAGAAGGATCGATGTCTAATTTGCGTAATTCTGCCTGCGAGACCTTCACCGCGAACGCCTTGTCCGGCTTTGTAAACAGTTTGCTCTTCGTGGATGAGAGACCTGCACGACTCTTCGGAGCTAGTTGCCGGGTGATACGCTTAACGTTCGTGCCTTTGATTGTGATCTTGGCCTTGCGCGCTGCAGGCATCGAAGGAGATCGATTTCGGATAGGGCCAGGAGCTAACGCAGGAGTGATAGATCTACGCTTATATTCCATCTCCAGTTCTTGGCGGACGTCCTTGGGCAGGGCTTCAAAAACCGACATGTCCACTTGCGAAAATGACGGTAGGTCGACTGAGAACAAAGGACCGTTTTCTTTGCTTGGCCTCACTATCTCAACGATATCGTCGTCTTGCGAAGGAGGCTGGACCGTGATGACTGTGGCCACAGCTGGTGCCGAGATACTCACTACATCTGCGCATTTTTGCGGGCTTTCTACAGATTTAAATGGGAGTACCGCTTGCCCCTGTTCCTCAAAAATATCCGAGATCTTTTCCAGCTTTTGTATCTGGATACCTATACCCCGAAGTTCCTTTGGGTCAAACTTGAACCCCTTTAGTAGTCGCCATGCATGTTCCCCAATAATCTTGTCGTCGCTTGTGGCACGGCCACCAGGCGCGACCAGTTGAACTTGCTTCGCGAAGGTCTCGCATATTCCATGGCCCATGAACTATAAAGCAACTGTATCAGTACAAATTCAGCGATAAGAACGAGATATGACCTTGGGAGCTTCAACAGGAGCGTTCGGGTCTCGTGTCATAATCTTCAGAGTCAACGAACGTCCGCGCATGTCAATATTATCCAGTCGACGAGCAACCTCTTCCGCTAGCTGGTAAATGAATGCTTCCGCTTGCTCATTGTTCTCGAATCGTATCCCATACTGCAAGGCATACACATATCAGCACAACAACACATACAAGAGGGTTGGAGAAACTCACGTTGATATCACATGAAACACTCTTTCGGGGCTTGTCGGACTCGAGTTTGCGACCATCCACACCTCTGATGGCATTGTACAATGTCTCTCCAGTGCCTTTCCCAAGCGCGTCGCACAACACAGCTTTGCTCTTCTTTGCAAGTTCTCCCAAATTAGTTGTCCCGAGTTTCTCTTCAGCCTTCTGAAGAGCAGCATATCCGAAACCATGCAGGTCATCGATATCCAACGTGGCAATAAACTCGGGAAGGTCTGCAAGCTGCAGATGAAATGATCCAGCAGGTTTAGCTCGACGAGAAGCTAAGCGAGCAAGCATTATGTTGTGTGCGATCCCGATGCTAACTATGGTAGACATATTTTAATTGACGGTGGAACCTCATAAGAAACTGTTACGTACCTTCGCAACCTGTTGCTTTCTTTACTTGCGCACGAATGGCCTCGGCGAACTCTTTGGCAGGGTCCACAGGAGAGCTTGAAGGGTCACGACTTTGTGCTATCTCCAAGAGGATACGGCGGATGCTACTGGTTACATCGATCAACGCCTCGTCTACAGATACGGCTTGTAGATCGTCCGCGTGAGCCATGAGGATTGTATAAAATTGTAATGAAAACTGCTTGTATCTAATACACAATAATGAGTAGGAACAAATTGTGATGATCGCATATTTACCTGTTGAACTCGTATGGTATAGTAATCACACCGGGGCATAAGTTTCGTGCTTGCTGTAGACTGACAAGTCGCTATGAGCAAGATGCTCAGCGTAAACACCAGGTAGACAATACCTCATTCCACCCTTGACGCCATATTTGCGTGCTTCGTAACTCGCACTGGCTATTTCGCTAGTGCTAGACTGGCCGCCTTGGTTGCCTTGTGAATGGCAGACAACAACCGGTTTGCCGCGCAAATGTGGACGATCTACCAACCCAGCGGAAACGAAGAAGCTGTCGAAATCACAATGCATGATGACCCTATCCTTGTCTTCGTCTTCAGCCTTCTGCTTCGCCTTCCCCTTGCCTTTCCGCACTAGTTGGGCTCCCTTCATGCTCACATCACGAGCACCGTCCCCAACCCAGTCCTTCCCGTGCATGTTTTCGCAAAGAATCTTTCCTACCGATTCATCCGTCTCATTTTCGAGTATTTCTCCAGGCCCAGCACTATTCTCCGCGCGTTCCTGAGCCTCAGCGACTAAGTTGCGTAATTCGGCTTTCCAAGCGGATAAATGGTGTAGGCGAGAGTTGCGGTAGTATCCCTCGACGAAGTCGGGGGCTACCGAAGTATGGGCAGCTCGCCATGCTGGATCCGCCATAGCGCGCTCTGCAGCAGCATTAGGCCCCGAAGCAGCATATCCGTGCACACGTTCAGCTTGCTCTGGAGTAGTAGGGTCAGTGGTATATAAAGGACGAAGAGGCGACGTTTTGCTTGAAATGTGTTTGGTGGGTGTGCGCGGTGGTGTAGATGGTATCACCACAGAAGACGTGGGCAGGTCCTTCGCATTTTGTATACCAGTCTTTTGTTTGGCGATTAAGTTTGGAAACTGGCTTCCGTCGTCCTTAGAATGTCGACCATTTGATTCTGAGGCGAACCCATCCAACAGCGACTTCTGCGCCGCTCGCATGCCCTGCGATTCCTCAAGCCTTTGGCTTGGTGTGAAGATAAAATGGTGCCAAGGGAGAAGCACATCGGCTTTTGCACTCTCAACGAGCCATTCAGGCCGGACGACTTTCATGTGTTGAAATTCACGGATTTTGGCGGGTGTCAATGAGCAGGTAATTATATGTGTGCTGGAGTAAGATTAGCCTTGTAGGATAGAGCAGGGAAGCGATTTACACTAGGCTTTTTCTGTCGAGGTACGCATGGAATATACCACCGTGCTGGACTATGAGCTGGCGAAGGTCTTGTACGGAAGGCTTAGTGAATCCATTTATCTACACACTTGTCAGTTATTAAGACGATCATATTAGACAAATTGCGTGAACTACGCACATAGATCTGAAGGCCGTGAAATATTCGACTGCTCTCTACAGCACCATCATCGCCATCCATTTCAGCATTCTGGATCTGAAGCTTCGCTCGCTTCCTGGACATATATTCCCCAAATTCACCAAAACGTGAAGCACCGTAGGTATTAGACGACATGTATGAAGAGCTGGCAGGGTTCTCGTCTACGAGAG